CACCTGGCCGCGCTGCCGCTCCGCGGGGCGCCGCGCGGAGGGGTCCGCTCCCGCGCACCAGCCCGCGGGGCCGCGCCTCGCCCCGGCTCCACCTCTTCGGGGTCATGGGGAAGTGGAGTCGAGGTTTTAGTGGCAATCTTGGTTTCTATGTCATTTTCATTTTTTGTTGTGATGTTAATAATTTGCCGTTTTGTCCTAGCACTGCACTTTTGATTAAAAAAACAACCAAACAAAAAAGGGGTTTTTACTTCGGTGTGTATCCAAAGCTTCCCAGTGTTTTTTTGTAGCCTGTCGCTATTTTAGATGGTCATGGCTGAGTCAATGATTTCACAAGTTTATTTTTTCAAGACATTTGTCTCTTACCTAAATAGTTTGAACTGAGTGTGCTTCAATGCTGAACTTGTTCATAGCATAACAACTCAACACTTTTTATGTTTTGCTTTCATTACCTGGGAGACTAATGAAGTATGGGAGAAAATTGAAAAAGTCTCAGATTCATGCTGTAGAAGAACCTGTTCTTGGGTTAGATTAAACTGTTCTAACACTTTTCATATTTGGAAATGTTTGGGTTCAAGTTTTGATGATTTTATCTTAACTTACATCTCATTTGGTTGAGGACACACAATTTGACCTAATACTCTTAGGGGCTTATACAAGAAGGATAAAATAAAGACAGTGAAGTGTTGTAGCAGCAAGTGATAGAAAATAAATGTGGTTTTGTGAAATATTTGTTATTAGTGATAGAAGTTTACTGTTTGAAACAAACTTTCCATTCTTGAAGAAGTTGTGAAGAAATCTTTCTAAATGAAAATGTGATTTTATGGATACTGCTGTAGCTGTAATGATGTATTCAAAAATAATATTTTGCAAGTTATCAGTTGTGTGAATATCATTCTAATACTAAAATATTTTGTTTAATTTCTCGGTGGCATGTTTAAGTCCTCAGACATATTGCACTGAATTAATTGGCAAACATTTGTTCTCAAACTGGATACATTGTATGATGTACAGGAGTTTTTTCAAAATGTAAAGTATAGCCCTTGGCCTAATTTGAAGATGACATTACTCTTGGTTTTACTGTGAGACTGGGAGGTCTTGGTGACAGGGAGCTTGCTACTGCTCTTTTTCAAGACACCAGAAACACTTAATAATTTCACCTTGAGCAACATTACTTGTGAACTATTTCTAGGTGGCTAAAATGGGCTGCCAGACTTTGTTTCACTAAACTTGTAATTTAGTATTCTACCTTCAGGAGCTTTAAGTGCAAAGAAAGAAAATGACATTGTGTTTTAAACCACTTGCTTTTCATTAAAAGAACTGTGGGTAGAAGAGAGATGGATGTACTGATTTTTTTTTCTTAGCCATGAGTAGTGTGGGAATGTTGAGGGTTTTCTTGATGGAATTGTGATCTACTAGGTCAGTTATATCCTCGCACCTCTTTGAAACTGGAAGATAGTGCCAAATGGCTTTTTTTTCTTGTGAAAAGGAAAAATAGTGAAGATTCTCGTGAATCTTCTTTTCTTTGTTTCTTCCAATGATTTTCTAGAAATTTGGTCTCCAATTAAAGGTGATAGCATATCAGAATGCTGTGATCTGACACTTGGAGACTACCTATAAAGCTGAGTGGTATTTTTAGCATTCTGTAGTCAGTTTATTGTGTTTCTATAATAAAATGTTTGACCTTTGTGAGAAAAGTCTTTTCAGACAATCTGCAGAACTCTGGGCACAGGGTGGGGGAACCTATAGGCAATTTTGTCCCATATGTTTGCCTAAAGCATTTAAGCTCTGAGCTTAATTTACTCTAAGAACATACCTATTTCTTAAAACCAGGCATTCATTTTATGTAATTTTTTTTCACTTACTATTTCAGAAGAGATTCCAAACTGAGATTGTTTGCTTTATCTGCTTAGCAGCAAAATGTAATAGTTCATTTTACAATGATCTGTATAATATAACAAGTACTTATATACCTTGATAGGCCTGAAATAAATGAGGAGCGAGAGTCATGCAAGCAAACAACAAAATACTTAATATACAAGGCCTTAAATTTTTCCTTCCCAAGTCAGCAGAATTGGAGGTAGAAACCGGGAGGAATACCATTGGATGCTAGCTGATGCAAAGCCTTCTGAGGTAATGAGAGACACAGAAAGAATATTTTGGATTTATGGATGTATTTGCTGAACCATAGGCTTGCTGTTGCTTTGCCTGTCGTCATGGCAAACCACTTGAGATAAAGGTAAATCACTGGGATCATGTATTAACATTAATGGGACCAAACTTTTCCCTTGAGAGAAAGGCTAAACAATTGTAGTTATTTAGCTTGAGATCATTTCTATTAATTACAGCATTAACTTGCTGTAAAATTATCACATTTACACTTCTCTTGTGGTTTTGACACATTCCATCTACCATATATATATTTGTGCCTCTCTGCAGGCAGAAGGCTTGTCTCCAGTGACAAGAAGTAAATCATGAAGTTTTTACTTTGTTGAACAGGAGAATTTAGAGTCGCTGTTGTAGAAAGTTAAGTGTGCCTTTAGGGTGTTCAAGAATATTATTGTTTGTTTTGAGTTCTTAAAGAGTTGATAAACACTTCACATTGTAACTAACTCATAGTGTAACAGGCTTTACAGCTGCCATAGAAGAAATATTTCTTCTATGCAACAGAGTTGAAACTGTAAGCTGTTTTAACCTTTTGTAGTCAGAACCTTGAACTGGCATATATCTTAGTTTTCATAAAATGGTTTCTAAGTACTGGTACTTGTGAACCTAATTCTTTCCAGCTCTGGGGAACACACTGAATACACATGAGAAAAGTGAGAGAGAGCTTGAGGCATATGTGGTTGCTGACAAGTGTCGTGACTATTTGGACTCTTATTTCTTTGCAAAATAAAAAAAAAAATATACATCAGGTAATGATTTTATACACTGCAATAACGATTATGGCTAATGCCACTCACATCTCTGAACTAGGCCCTGCAGTACTGTTGAGTGTATGCTTTATGCTAGTTATACTGTAGATTTTTTTTTTTAAGGTTTCTCTTATTTAGGTAACGATGGAAAACAACCATGACGAGGTGTGAAAGCTACTAAAATGGTATTCCTGGGCTAATGAATTTGATCTTACATAAGATTAGTTGTATTGCAGTGAGTCTAATGCAATGTTTTCAAGATAGTTTCTAGGTGTTTCTTACTGTACTTGAATTTTCTTCTTAGCTTCCTTTTCCTTAGTACTAACCACTCATTGTAAAATATATTTCCAGAGAGCTTAGTAGTATCTTTTCTGGTTTTTGTTTGTTTATTGTTTGTGTTTATAAATAAACAATGCTAGCTGGGCTGTTACATTTCCACTTTTTCATCTCGTTAGTTAATTATTGGAGTAGACCCCTTGACAACAGAACAACTAAGACTGTTCTCCA